TATCATCAAATAACTATTTCATAAAAAAAATTAAACCTAATCAGTGTTTAACAAACAACTAGCCACAATGATCGTTGTGGCATGGCGTGGCGTGGTTTAAGGATTGTGTCTCACGTCACAATTCTTAAATGTAATTTACTCTAAAAATGTATAACGTTTTGAAATAAGGACTTGACTTGATAGTGAGTGGCAACCACAAAAACCAAAAATGTAATTTACTCTAAAAAATGTCTAGCCTTAGGGACGATAATACAAATGAATTTAAAACTACAGGGACGAAAAAAATCACAATTTCGAAACCACAAGAACGAAGTCCTTAATTTTATTAACAAATCACAGGTACGAAAAACGTAATTTACTCTAGCTTATATGATGTAAAGATTTGTCACCATAAGTGACGTCTTGAAAAACGTCGTGGTTCCTAAGGCTCGATGCTTGACCTCGCAGCCACACTCTTTAAAACTTTGAATATGATTATCATTCATAAGATTATGTATATTTTGTCAATCAATCAAATCAACTTTAAACAACCAATCCAATTAATAATTAAATCATGTCAGTCCATTAATTGATTTATCCATCGTTCCGATAGGATCCGTCCAATTTCCAACAATTTCAATAAATCAGTTTCAGTAAATTAGTGTCAATAGATCAATCATACAATTTTCGTAATTTGTTAAAAATATTACATTCAAAAATCAATTCAATATAATTAAATATCTACCATTTAAATAAATGCTAAAAACGGCTGGAGGGACTAAAATGTAAAATTCTGTTAAAAACAATGTTCCAGAATGTATATGCTTTAATTAATTAAAAAAAATAAGGGGTTTAATTGATATAATACATAGATTAAGACATAATCACATGATACAAGAGGATTAATTAAAAATAAATAAATGTTCACGCCTAACCCGTGCCTTAATCATTTATTTTATTACACGATTAGGATTTTACAAAATCTTATCTCAAACATATTCTAATTTTTAAAGACTTTCGTAAACCCATATTCATAGTTTACTTTACTAATTCATGTTTTTTTATACCAATGACATCTGATGTTATTTACGTTTGGAGAATAATTACACATGCAAAGAGAAAGAAATCAAAACTGTTTCTGACAAAGTCTGAGTGAAATCTATGATTTATATTGAGCTTTTATTTTAATTTTTGGTTTTGTATGTTCAAGGTGATTGGTACAGAGTTTAGCATGAAATCAGGAGTGAGTAAAAGATGTTGCATAGTAGGTTATTATTGTGGTTAGTGGACCGTATAAAGACTGCATATTAGTCCCACCTAACCACTCATAGTACAGAGTTTAGCATGAAAAAAGCACCCACCTTGCCCTCCACACCCTTTCGTCCACTATATCTTCAAATCTTTCGCACGCATAGAGATCCATTGAAACGATAGGAGGTGGACCGTATAAAGACAATTTGTTTGAATATTAGTCCCACAAGGAAAAAAACCCATTATTATGATGACTTCAATTAGAGTAAAAACAATTCAAACAACTGTTGTCCATATATGCCGCATAGATGTCGGAATAATTTGGGAGTCCGTCCAAGCCATCAAATCATCAAAAGAAATCGTTGGTGATGAGTTCTAACCCTGTAACTTAAAATATCGTTCCACAAATTAAAAAGTCGACAGGCATTTGACAAAACATTGGTTGATGGTCTTGTCGTTAAAATTTAAAATGAAATTAACATGTTACATTGTTAGATAAATTGACTCAATAGAGGTTAAAAACCTTTTTTTGATAGAAATTATTATATCAAAATTTGAAAAGTTGTCATAACCACTAGGGATTAAAGTCATATATTGCTTTTAATTTAGGAATCTTTTTATAATGGACAAAAATATTTGACTTTGTATTAGTTAATTGGTAGATTTCATTTGTGATATATAATAATGAAAAAGTGGGATGAGAGGACATGATCTACTTTGTCTTGTCCAATTTATGTATAGAGGCTAATATTTTGGACGATTACGGATGATATAAATCATCGCAAGTGAACTTCTATAACCACAAGTATTTTGACAACACCTGATATTGAATCCAAGGTAGATATGATAAAGTAAAATGGGATGATCTGCAAATAAATTATACAGAACAACACAATCAAATAAAATAAAAAGATAAGAATAAAATTAACTTTATAAATAAGATAAGTTATGTTAATAAAAAATGTTTAATTAATATTATCAAATATAATCCTAATACATTTGAAGGTTTAAAATTATCAACTACATAATACATTTTTGTTTCATTGAAGTAAAACATTTAAATGGCATAATTAATATTATATATATATATATATATATATATATAGTATATTTCAAATACAACTATGTTCATTTGTACAACCAATGCAACCTAATTAATTAAGATATTTATAGAAATGATGAGAGTTTATTTATTATGATTTGAACATATTATGGAAGATGAATATAGTTTATTAGTTATGATTAATACTTTATATTATGAAACAATCAAAACTTCTATGAAATCACATATTCATCAAATTGAATGGATGGTCGAGATTGGGTTGTATTGGTTGTACAAATGTAAAAGGTTGTATAATAACCAACTTATATATATATATATATATATATATATACTAGTTGTGTACCTACGCAATGCGGCAGGAACCATGAATTTTAACGATTTTGAAGTTCCACTGGTTTTATAAAATATGATTTAACGATGATATATGTTACACTTGGTCTTTACATATTAATACAATTTGAATAAATAAGAGTTATGATTTCAATTACAGACTATCGATGAAAAAAAATTGTATGACAATTTAAAATCCAATATATTTAAAATCCAACATATTTAAACGATTCCACAAATGTGTTTGATTTACACCAAGAGCAAATAACCAATAAACTTGAGTTTTAAGATAAACATTCGAAACCAATAAAGAAAACTACAAATTTGACAGATCATAAGACATGAAAAGACAAAAAAAAATGGGTTTTAGAATGAAATTTCAACTGGTTACCCTCTTTTTTGTCCAGAAACTCATATTAAGGTTGAATTAATACATGTATATATATATTTCAAAAAAACCCAAGAACATATTAATTTAGAACATATAAAAGATATAATTACTACTATTTTAAAATCTATAAGAAATATATTATGAGTATTTATTTTGAGATAAGATAAAAATTCTTGTGATTTTTAATAAAAAAAATTATCTCTAAGGGTGCGTTTGGTACGTTGGACAGGGTGGGACAGGACAGGACAGAACACAATTGTCCTATGTTTGGTGTGGTTTTATGTGGGAC